GGCGAGGACAGGACGCCCCCGGGCCTGGCGGACGAGCCCGAGCGCCCCTGCGCCTCGGCGCAGCCCGCAGCCTCTCCGCCGCCGCCCCAGCAGTCGCCGCAGCCAGCCTCCGCCTCCTGCGAGCAGCCCTCGGTGGATACCGCTATCAAAGTGGAGGGAGGCGCGGCCGCCGGCGACCAGATCCTCCCCGAGGCCGAGGTGCGCCTGGGTCAGGCCGGCTTCATGCAGCGCCAGTTCGGGGCCATGCTCCAGCCCGGGGTTAACAAATTCTCGCTGAGGATGTTTGGCAGCCAGAAAGCCGTGGAACGCGAGCAGGAGAGGGTTAAGTCGGCCGGGTTTTGGATTATTCACCCCTACAGCGACTTCAGGTAAGGGGGCAGGCAGTGATCCTGTGGGTACCCTGAGCGGTCGCAGGCATGCTGCCTCTCTCGGCCCTACCTCTCAGCCGGAGTTAACTTACTTTCCTTTCTTACGCTAGGAGCCAACAGAAGTGGGGCGCCTCGAAGCTCAGAGACACCCCCAGACAGGACGTTCCCTGTACGGTGCAGGGAACTTTCCTCTGTGTTCCAGGCTCCAGACCTCAGCCTCTTGAGGTCTGGGCCACATTAGATGCAGGCTGAAAGATGTTCTGAGTTTGGCCTAGCCATGCCAGCAGCCAGGGCTCAGCCACCTTAGGCTACAAATCCCACCTCCCCGCTCTGGGTTGCAGAGTCAGAGTGGCCATTCTAGAGGCAGCTCCAGGTCATTCAGCCTGCAAAGCAGGGCCACAAAGGAAGACATCTCTTGGCAGCTGGGCCAGCTCTTTGAGCACTGTTAATATCTGCCTTTTGATGCCCTGGGAAGCTGCAGCTGGGGAGAGAGAGCTGGGTCCCTGGAGGACTGAGGTCACTGGGGCCTCAGGCCCAGGTTGAAAAGCCCTCTGCACCCACCTTAACCCTGGGCCCAGCCCCTCATGCCAAGTGGTATGCCAGAAGTGGACACCCTGGACAGCTGATATCCAGACTAGCAGGACAGGATGACCTTGCTCATAGTGGTCAGTGAAGATGCCTGGTGCCCTGACTGATGACTAGCTGTCCTGTGACCCCAGGCTCTTCCAGTGCACCATCCTCACCCCAGGGGCTCAAGCTCCAGCAGCTGCTCAGTCTCTCTCATGGCTCAGTCGTTGGTCCCCAAACAAATGGTGTGACTGCCAGTCAGGGAAAGGGACCCCGCCCCCTCCCGCATCACCTGAGTCAAATGCTACTGCACAGCAGATACTACTCTGGCTTGTGGGGTTATCCATACAAAAAAGGGAGATTAGTGATTGCGTCTGAAGTTGGGATCAGGGATGCCCCTTCCTCAGTCAAGGTTTTAGGGTCCCCCAGTTGCCCCCTGGGCTTTCCTGATACACAGGATTGAAGTGAGAGTCTGAAAAACGGTCATTCTTTTGAGCTGGGTTTAATTCATGCTCTCTATGGGCCCTGCCCCCTTTTTAGCTCCTTTTCCTACCTACCTCACTTATCTACCAATATAAATGAGCATTTTGTCAACCCAGAGCCCTCTTTGCAAACTCCAGGGAAGTGAGGTTTGTAATGAGAGCAAAGCCATTTTCCATCCAATGAGAGAGATTTCTCGTGCTGGGAATGACCAGTCAGGCAACACTCGATGGCTTAAAATAGGTGGTGAACAGAGGCCCTCCCTTTTCTTTTCTTTTCTTTCTTTCTTTTTTTTTTTTTGTTTTTGAGAGACTGCCCTTCCTAACCCTAATGTCCAGGGTTCCCTTTCTCAGGGAATGTGGGAGGCCAGAGAACAGGTTAAAAACTCAGCCATAGTCTTCTCATTGTGTGAGTAATGCGAGACCCTCCCATCAGGAACTGCAGCTGGTTCCCAGTGCCAGATTCCTAACGTGTGGCTTCCCCTTTGGTTAGTACTGGGACCTGAGGAACCCAGCCTGAGCTAGAGAGGAGTGGGCAAGAGCTTAGTCTCCTGTAACCCTCTAGGTGTCCTGGATTTTTCCTCTTCCCTCTGAACTCCCTCGTTGGTGGTGGCGGGCAGGCTCTGCCAGTATTAACCACTTAAGATTATTGAGGGGCCTTCCCTTCCTTTGCTCGGCACCCCGCCATCTTTGTTGTCTGAAAGCCTCTGTTCTGGGTTCTCATCACCAACCTGGTGTTGGGGGTCTGCAAGGGGCCAACCCCAGGCACACCTAGCCTCCATGGGCAATAGGCAGTGATTGAAGACCTTCTGGGCACTAGGCCATGCCTTCTCAGTTTCTCTTTACGCTGGATGGTGAAGCACTAGGACTGGATTGATTGCATCAATGGGAACCTCCCCGCCTTCCCGATTTCCTCTGCCCATCTTGGCATGTTTGTCTGCAGTCCCCCTGCTGCAGAATCTCCCACTAACTGCAGGCTACCCGAGACATGGCGGAAGGGGAGGTTGGTGGGGATAGGGGCAGCAGGTTTGATAAATGGGCAACAGGAAAAAGTCAGACTGGTCTTTGAATTTGGGTTTGCGCAACAAGCAACAGGGGCTGGTAGCTGGAAGCATACATCCTCTGTGAGCAGCCTGGTATCTGTCTGGTACTGGGTGGGGTGTGAGGAAAGAAATCCAAGAAAGACTGTCTGTGTGAGTATCTGGAGGGGCAGTGGTCATGCCTCTCCTGCCTCTAGGCCAGAACAGCTAGTCTCATTTTCAGAAAGTCCAAGAGGCAGGGGCCCGACTAAGTCTTTTAAGCTTAGAAACCCCACCACTCAACCTGGCCTCACCTACTCCCCTGCCACCCAGCGTTGCAACCCTCAGTCCCTCAAGTTTCAGCCACTGGCCTTGGGCCTGTATATGGAACCAATCCCACTGCCCAGCTCAGGCTTCACAAGAGCTTCTGCAAGCATTGCTCAGGCCAGTTAAAGATTTATTCATCATTTTGACAGGCAGGAAGCATTGATCCAGCAGAATTGGTTTAATAAAGAATCGCCGGCAAACCATGATAGATTGAGTTTATGGTTCGGAGTTCAGAGCTTGCTGTCATGGGCTGCTTTGGACAGCTACTGTTCCTGGAGGAGGAGGGTTGGGTGCCTTTACCAAGGGTCGGTGTGGGCTGTGCTCTGAGGGACCCGCATATTGTATCGGCCATGTCCAATGATAAGCTGTTCTTAGCTGCCTCTGCTTCTCCTCACTCACCTGCCCCCTTCCCACATGCATACCCTGCCCTGGCTTACCCCTGTGGATCCTCCAGGCTTCCAGGGTTTATCTGGTCTCCCCTTCCCTCCCCTTCTTACCTTTTCCATCCCTTCCTTCTCCCCACTTGCCTTTTGAAATTTGTATTTAAGGTTTGGTAAGGGAATAGACCAGGAAAAACAGCCCCTCAGAGTATTTGTCCCCAGGCTCCTGCCAAAGGTTGGGCTCTTGGGTCCTGGGTGGCTCCTTCCTTCCACATCAGCCATGTCCTGGAAGCCAGGGTTGGCAGTAGGAACCTGGAACAAATAAAACATAGTATCTGCATGATCCTATTTTCTCAAGAGAAGAGAAAGGGAGAGAAAACGAGTGGGGACCCCAAGTGAAGATGTACCTGGTTTTGTTCTCAGAAGCTGGTCGGGCTTTCGAGTGTCAGGCTTGGGTGGAAGAGTGGGGGATGTTGGCCTGGGTGTGTGTATGTCTAGGTGTCTCCCTGAGCAGGTGTCTGGGGGCTGTCTGGGTAGGTATGGGGCTGGTAGGGAAGTCTCTATGTGGAATGTCAGCTCTAGGGCTACTCCTGTGCTTCAAACTCAAGCTTGGCCTTGAGAGTGGAGGCAAGCAAACTTGGCCCTTCTCATCCCTCTGCCCCTTCCCTTTCCTAACCTGAGACTTCTGATATTGTGAGGAAAGGAAGGGAAGGAAGGGCCCTAAAGGGTCCTTGAGACAGAAACAGCTGGGCTCCAAAAGCATGGAAACTGGGCCAACAGATAGGTAAGTCTCAGGGACAACTTAAAACTGACTTCCTATGCTGGTACTTGGCCCCAGATACTGCCATTGCCCACCTTACATCGCCTCCTCAGCCCTGCCTGCTATGGGGCCCTGCTTGGGTTATGAGCCTTCTCTGAGCCTCGGTTTTTTAATCTAGAAAAAGGGGAATCCTGTTGCCCATCACCATGTCAGACACAAATTGTACAACTGTGGTCACCCGTGGAGGTGAGAAGTTCCAAGGGTGCTGTCAGAGACCAGTGATGCTGCTATGAACCACACCGTCCCTGCCTGTACTGCTTCCTTCCTTCGGTCCTGGGCAGACCAGATGGGTCTCTGTCCTTGGCTCAGAATAGTGGTTCTGAACCTGCATCATGGATCTAACTGGGAACCTGCTGGAAATCAGAGTAGGGTCTCTATCCAGAAAGATACAGGAACATCCAGACACACGATACGACACTCAATTTCTATGGACCCCCTAAGTCAACAACCATCTAGGTTGTGAACTCCACTGTAGGCCATCCCAGAAAAGTCCTGGCTTGGTAGGGGCAGGTGCTAGCCTCCTAGAGCTGGCCTTCCTGGGGCCCTCTGTAATCTGAGGCTTGGGCCTCCCATTGCCAGCAGGATGGAATGAAAACAGGAGCACAGTTAGGTGCCTGAAGGAGAGGTGCTCTGCTTGGAGACTAATTTCTTTTCTGTTTCCTTAGTCTCACACCCATCTCTCTCCCTTTCAACCTTGGGAAGGACTCTTCAAGTAGGAGGTGGTGAGGAGGAAGAAGGCAACAGCCTGGATCTGGGGCTGAGGGGGTTCTGAGACCCCTCTTTGGGTGGACCTTCCTGGGGGGCATTGCCCAGGAATGCAGCTTCTGCCATCAGTGTAGAAAGCTAAGCTGAAAGGAGCTGCAGGCAGTGGTGCCAGTGGAGGGGGAAGGGCGCCTTGGTACAGAGTGGAATTCCAAGGTGAGCTGCCTGGGCTGTGCTGTCGCGGGCATAGTGGGCAGCAGGAGTCTCCAGTAATGAGGATATGCTCAATATTATAAGAATGGGGCTGGCGGAGGGTATCCTCAGGCGGAGGCGTTCCCTGGGTGCTGATAATGCACAGAAACCCCATGGGGCCAGGACCTTTATATTGCCTGGGCGGGGAGGCCTGAGCTCCAGGGTCACCCTGTTGCAAGACTTCAAGTCCTAGACTGGCCTCTACATGATGAGGTTGGGACCTCGCCTCTGCCTGGCCCTGCCCCATTTGTTCCCTTAGCTGCTATGGGCTGCTGTAGGTAGCCTGCCTCCCACAGTGCTGGGCCGGCAGCCTGTCCATCTGCCCTTCTCTCCCATGTTTTAGGGCTCCCAGATCTTACAAATGCCCTCTCAGGCCACTGGGGTCACCATCATTCCTCTCTCTCTCCCTGAGCATCTCATGGCATTTGGATGCAGTGCTTCTTATGCTATCATC